CATTTTTTTTTAAATATATAAATAATATTATATGAACCTTTATATATTTTTTAAAAATTTATTTGAAGTGTTAAAATATTTACGTAATAAACTAAAGTAAATAATTATAGAAATCTTAAATAAAAAAATAATGAAAAGAAAGACAAAAAGAAAAATAGAGTAAAATTGTTTTCTTTTAATTATTGGTCCAAAAATGTAAAATATTACGTGAGGAAGGGGTCTGATGATAATTGTCAGAAACTTGAGGGGGCCGAATCTCATCTTTTTCAAAGATTAGGGACATGTTTTGCCAATAGTACATATCTGTTTAAAGAAAACGACCCATCAGCCTAAAACTCGCGATTTGTCCAATTTATTCAACTAATAAGCCAAAACTCTTGACATATAAATTGTAGAGCTCTGGCTTAGGAACGTTTTGGTTGAAATAGCTCGAAAAATCATTGAGTTTTGAGAGAGAAATCAGAGTTTGAAGTTCGAAATCAAAAATCTCGGTTTTTCACCGATTTTGGGTGAGATTCTTAACCAAATCTCTTGATTTTTATGTCTATAGTTTCGTTTTTAGGTCCTCTATCAAACCCCAGTAGCCTCATGTCTCATATTTGTGTTTTCGTTGTTCAATTTTTTATGTTTTTAAGTTGTTAAGTTTAGTTTTAAAAACAAACTTTAAATGAGTAAATGGAACTCATTTCTTGATGAAAATTCATGTTCTTTATGTTAAAGTGTTGGTAAAAATATTACCAAGAGTTTAGTGCAAAAAGAATGAAGAAAAAAAGTCAAGAAACGAGCCAATTTCATGCTCGAAAAGCTCGAAAACGAGCAGCCATGGCTGCAGACCTGCAGTTTTTGTCTTGGGCCGTTTTCGTCTTGGGCCGTTCTTGTTGCGAGGTCACGAACCGGGTCGGCCTGACCAAGGACCCGCGTCCATTTACCTTTATTTAAAAATATTGGGATAAAGTTGTTGAGGGCGGGAATCGAATACGTGACCTCAGCTTGAAGTTGCAAGCATTAACCAGAACGCTAAGTTTGATTTTGTTATATATAATGTATTTTTATTATTAATATGCACTGAATATTTAAGTTTCAGAAATTTGCATTTACTCCCTAAAGTTTCATAAAGTTATTTTTCCCATAATAACTTTATAAGGCTTTCATCAAATTTATTTGGAGTTTGTGAAACGCAAACTTTGATCCAATTTCGATTATTTATTTCATTTAGTTACCAATATGACCYTATAAGTGGGAAATCGATATTTTAGCAATACTTTACGTATTTGCTTCCAAAAYTTACCGAAATAACCATTTATCTTGGGGATTGGTCTATGAGCTTCATTTTTATATTAATATTTTAAAATTTACCAAAACGACCCTAAATTTGGAAATCTGTATTTTAGCAATATTTTACGTACTTGCTTTATAAAATTACCGAAATGACCCAAGGTCTTGGGAATATGTATCTAAKTGTTATTTTAAATATAATCCTTAWGAAATTACCAAAATGACCCAAYAATATGGAAATTGGTATTTTAGCGATACTTTACGTATTTGCTTTATAAATTACCGAAATGACCCTATGTCTTGGGATTGGTATCTATGTTTTATTTTGAATATAATCGTTAAGAAATTACCAAAATGACCTCACGATTAGGGAAGCGGTATTTTAACAATACTTTGAGTATTGCTTAATAAATTACCAAAATGCCCCTATGCTTTGGGATTGGACTGTTAAGCATAATTTTGATATTCGACTTATGATATATGCAAAAAAATGTTCTAAATAAGGGAATTGGTTAAAGCTATACCTTTGGTATTCGGCTTCTTAAGATAACCGAAATGCCCTAGACTTGGAAAATTGGWATTTTAAACATTATTTCGAGTATTAATTATGTTGGACTTTAAAGTTATGGAACGACCGTTATTTATATGTGAGTGACATATTGTCACCTTTACTTACATGTAAATCTTAAACGAGACGTTTTCGTCACAAGACATTTATTTTATAAAAAATGATTTTATGGAGTTATAAAATGAATAATTTACTATACGAAGTGTTACTCGAGTTGAAAATTTATTAGAACGYTTTTAACTCGAAATATGTAATTATTAACATGTCTATCATATAATAGATAACTTARTAATCACGTTTATGATGTCGTTTTAAGATATATAGCTAGACGATACACCTTATGTCGGAACTCACGTTCCTATAATTTTAATTGATGTGAGGAACGTTCTTAAGCATAGTTGACCAAGGTTGATCCTAGTCAACGTGGTCGAC